TTTTCTTTTATAAATTGCTTAGTTTCGTTGTACTTATATTTTTAAATAATATTTAGTGGTATAGTCTAGGAATATCGGCCTAAGACTGTATATAATTTCAATTCAAAAGTCTAGCCCCAGGGAAATTAAAGCGAAAAATATTATGGTCTTCCAGCATATATTCTTTTACCCTTGCTTTTTTTATGTAGGTACCCGAGATCAAAATGTCTTAGGTATTCTGAGAATGTTAAATAATTACAATACATCATTATAATGTAGCTCCTATATAATACGTAAATTAAATTCTAAAAAGCGCCAACGCCAATATAATAGACGCTGTAAGATGGGAACGCTCAATGGCAGTCTGTCAAGCAGACGGGTCGATCACAAGAAGATAAAACCACCACACTCGCAGAGTGCAGGAGAGTAGTAGACAGAGCGTGACGCTATAGAGATGCGACTAGTAAGGCATTCGAGTCTTCATGGACATGCGATACACCGATACCGCAACCTCAGCCTCAGTAGACTCCGTAGAGAGAATAATTTATAAGGGGGAACATGCATGTTGTTATTGATACTATCGAACGAACGCTACTTATTCTTCCGAAACGATATGGCTGCCTTGTTACTAAGGCCCCAATCACCTGACTATGGGATACCAGTGTTGAGAGCGGAATTCCCCATTATATACTACCCTCCCTGAAAAATTGACTGTCCCTTGGTTAATTCGAAACAAAAGAAACAAAAGAAACAAAAATATCAGATAGCACCTCCGACAATTATTCCATACTTTATCTATTAATCGGCACCTAGCCGCCATGAGGATGGCCAACCTCTGCCTCAGGAGTAGGTTGCTGTATGCTCGATAGTGGTTGAGATTCAGCAGGAGCATGAACAGGCTCATCGGGCAACAGATCTAGTTCTTGGTCGTCAATAAGCATACCTTTCTCAATACGATAGAAGAATGAGTTTTTGCCGTATTCCTTCTTCTCTAAGCGTTTAGTCAGTTTGAAGCAGCGTAGGTACTTATACTAAGCTTCCTCTCGCTAGTCGCGAACTATTGCTCTTGCAACCTCAGGGTCTTTTCTAAAGAGATCATCTAATTCTATGTATATGGAGGGACTATCCTATCTCTGTCGGCCTACCAAATAATTCGGAATCCTGTGTCGGGCCGTCCGGAAATGTACTCTGGCAGCAAAGGGAAACGGGATGGTACTATACTGAGAAGAGGAATAACTGGAGGGCGTCTTGGATGTAGGTATTAGTATACGGTGAGCCTCTGCCAGCTTCTCCTAGGTATTTGATTCTGTACAGTCCAGAGTTTTATGGTTATCCTGGATTGCTGTGTACTACGGGAGTCCGGTTCGGTGTACTTATGTGGCAGAGCCTGTTGATCTATGAGGCAGTATAGGAAGAGAAAGTCGTATATTACTGATACTATAAACCTCCGTTGTCTATTGGGTGCTATATGTTTCCTTATCCTCCTTCCTCTATATAAAAGGTTTGATACCTGAGATAAAGCTGTCTCTAACGGGTCTACGGGACTAGATATCCTTCTACTATTTTGCCAGACGTTCTGTCTTGTGTATACCTTTTAGCAGTACGGTATAGTTCTGTTTGTCTTCTTATGTAAAGGATACTGATCCTTGTAGTAGGCTACTACCTCTCTGGCTGTTAAGATAATCCTGGATATTGATATTAAGGTGCCAGAACTCAGTATATTGGCTAGCCTGTATACTTTTTATGTAGTAAGGATACGAGATCAGGCGCTATATATAGTCTGGCCGGAAAAAGATATATACTATATAGTAGGATAGGTCTTGTCGAATTAATTGCTGAATATTCGAGTGCTATATGCTGCAAAGCTACCTAAGCCCTTTTATTGTATCGCTTAGATAATAATGGTATATTTAAAACTCCTAGTAAATAAGCGGCTATAATCCTTCTGGGTATTGTCCGTCGAGATTCTCTCTAAGCTATAAGAAAAGGTTCGGCAATACTGTACTGCTATTGTTGTGTATATTATATACTAGGCTAATGTCTAGAGCCTCTCCTATATAGATCCTATTGATTAAAGTCTCTATAGATAGCTATTTAGTATAAGACATAAAGTCAGAGATAAGCAGAGTATAATGCTGAGGACAGAAGCGATAGAAGCCAAGACTGTTTTCCTGCCGGAAACTAAACCATCAGGGGTAATCTTTTATAAATTGATCCTATTTACCAATATACTAATATAATAGGGCGATACGGTTGACTAATTACTGATAGTTTTTTAAAGTATTTATTATTTATACTGTATTAACCAATGCTTTAGTATATTGGTTATAGAGGGTACTGATCGTAATACCTTCTGATCTTGCTAGTCTTCTGCCAATTATATACAGAGTAATCAGTCTGTTTCTTTATTTTGAGAAGTCTTTGTCCTTGAGGGCTCTAACTAATATAGTCAGGCATAGTAAATATCTATATTTTGTACGTTCGTTAGTCAAAACAAGGATTTTATCATTACTCTCTTTAGCAGCAGGATTAGTTTGTGTATATTGTAGAGACTGTTCAGTATCTGGGTGGTTATTTTTACTCTCTAATTTAGTGTTGGTATTAATATCTATTATATCAGTTATCTTCGGAGCGTTGACTAGGTATATACTATCAGCTTTCTCTTCCTTATAATCTATATCTTAATCCTCAGATTCTTTAGCAGCAGTAATGGTTTCTGGCCGCAAACTGCTCTTCTTAGGGGATAGAGGTAAGGTAGTAGCTTAAGGTTTGATCTAAGGGAGGTTAAAGCCTTTACCTCTCGGGCAGACAAAACTATCCTAGTCTAGTTGGAGACCTGTACGATCTAGTTGATCCTGTGTTATTGGCGATAAGATACGGCAGTTATAGGTATTGGTCAGGTCGCTAGGTTCTATATGCTTTGATTTCAGGCTTCTGCTTCCTTTTCTAAAGGTATACTGCTTAATAATATAGTTGTTGATAGAGAGTTTGATATTATCGTAGGATATATCGGTATTCAGTAGCTTACTAACTTTCTCAGAGAACGTACGGTTGATGACCTATTAAAAGAACTCTGCTATATTTCTGCCTACCGGATTGCCGTTATCCTACTTCGTAAGCGTATATCGCTGATAGCCTTTGATTGTTATAGTATCCTTCTTCTTTCTTTTCTGTAGCTTGATAGTATCCTTCTATTACTGCTAGAACTCTGTATAACTCTTATGATATTCTTTCTATAGTTCCTCAGAACTAATATAATTGAATAGTTTATAAATCCTATCTCTAATAACCTTATAGACTTTATTTAGCTTCCTATAATAATAGAGTGCTAGGTTATATTTGTCTTTTTATTGATAGTCTTGCAGGGTCTTGATTATATTATTAATTATATGAACCTTTGTTCTATTGATGATCAGTCCTTCCGGAATTAGCGTCAATATTCTTATGGCTCTTATAGTGATCTGGGTAACAGGTACGAGGGTATTTATTTCAGATATAGATATAGCTACAGCGTTTTATATTTAGTTCTTAGAAGTAAGGGTAAAAGGAATCAGACTTCTGTAAATAGTTTATAATACTGGTTGAATCTGTTAAAGGCGTAGGATTAAATAAGGAAATAGTAAGTAAGGTCTTTTTTAAAGAAACAAAGGATCTATAAGTTTTAAAGGACTATATAAACAAAGGAACAGATTCTTCCCCCTTCTCCTTATTCAACCGTCCCTTAGTCGAATCATACGTTCTTAAATAGGTAGTTCTTTATAGTTCCTAAATAGTTCGATAGTATTGGGCGAGGGTTAAAGTAGGTTTTAAAATAATAGAATAGACAAAGTAATAATAAAAGAAGATCAGAAAGGGGAGAGGGGGTTAAAGAAGTTAAAAGTAAAAGAAAGAAAAGGGAGAAAGTTATATTAATATCGAGGACGGCTTTCTAATTAGGTTGAAGTAAACGGCCAATAAGGCCGTAAGGCTATAAGGCTATAAAGCACTAATTTCCTGCCGGAAAACGATGTCCTGTTTTAGGACAGTCTATCTTTCTGTTCTTCTTAGTGATAGCCTTCCTTATCGTTGAGACAGTTATATATATAATATTTTGACCTGTTTCTTATACTACTGTTGTTCTTGGCTACTACTGTAACTTCTTTAACCTTTTAGACGTCTGATAGGGTTATACTGTAGTAAGGATAAGGATCCTTTATAGCCGTTTAGGTTATATCGAGAATAAAACTTCTTTAGCTGATCGCTATTAAATAACTCTGGTTGATAAGTTAGGTCCTATAGTACTGTACTATTAAGTTTACTTAGTAAATATAAACTGCTCTTAACTATATAAATATAATAAAGTCCTAGCCAACAGAATTATAGTTTTGTTTTTGAACTATAGTCTATTCTGTAAATAGAATTATATAGGAGAATAAGATTATTCTTTTTAAATCACTTATACTGAAGCAGATAATATTCGTCGAAGAAGTATATATTTGCTTCTTTCAGACGATATATACAGAGAATTGCTTCTTCAATATCCTGGTCTTGCTTTTTAAATTAGTACACTCTTATTGCTAGTAAATCCTTTTAATCTTATACTTTATACTATGGTAGTATACTTTAGGTAGGTATTCATAATTTAATTGGTATAATTAGATTCTTCCTATAAAGAAAGAAGAACAGGCTTATCCTAGTGGTTGTATTAACAGTAAAATAATTAGCCATTAAAACAGAATAGAAATATAGTCTCTATAGTCTCCTATACTGCTAAGTTATATTATCGACTGGGTAGCCTTCTGTTATCTTCAAGAGTACGTCTTTTATTGTTTGTATTATATGCTCTATAGGGCTATTAGAACCTGGATAGTATACGGAGATTTTGACTCTTAATATTTATTTATATTCTAGAAAGGCTGTTAAACCTCTATGATTTTCAGGTCCTATATCGATCACTATCTCCCGGGGAACTCTATGACGGCTAATGATATCTTTCTTGATAAATTAAATAATATTCTCTGATCTTATAGAATACAATATTCTTACTTCTGGCTATCTGCTGACAGAATCTCTTGCCTGAATGACAATACCTTCGCCGTCCTCTGGGGGTATTTGAGTTGTGTTAATATACTATTTATCAAAAAGCAATAGCGGTTGTATAACAATAGTAGGTTTATAAAGGCGATTCGGAGCTTTTGCCTGGTATAGAGAACAGGTTTTGATATATTTTGATATATCCTCGTATATATAAGACTACCAATATTAATACTTAATCAAAGTATATGTTGTCTCTCGTCCTTTATAACCAAGATCATTATAGATGCTTTTCAACGTACGTTGCTGGTCTTCCTCTTGGTCTAGAACCCTGTAGAGTAATTCGGTATTATCCTTAATATATTAGAACAAATAACGCTCTTAGATAACAAACTTTATATACTTTCTTTTAAACGAATAGAATTCAGACAAACTTATACGATCCGGCCTATAAAGACTAGTTAGGTATCTTACAACTTGCTTAGATTCAGCCGAGTATCCTTTATATAGTATATTGGTATTAGGATTATCAGGATTCTCGATATAAACAGTAATAGGATAATAGCTGGCGTAAAGATACAGGACTTCTGCGTTAACAAAGTTATCAATATTCTGTTCTTGGTCTCTTTCCTATAGATCCTCCTTAGTTGGTAGACGACAGGACAAAGTATCTACAGCACTATTACTAGTGCCAGGAACATATTTTATATTAAAATCAAAAAGCTAAATCTATACTATCTAGCGAGTAACCAGGGTACCAGGGAGATCTGTTACCGTACGGTTCAGTTGTATAACCAATATATTGGTATCGGTTTCTAAGATAAAGTATACTCTGTATAGCTAATAGCAGAACTTCTTGAATATCTTCAAAACGGTACGGTATTCTAACTTTTTAGTATTATATTTTGATTTAGTTTCTGACCAAACGCCTGATTTATATCGTGCTGGCTTACAGATACTATTTCGAACCTATATAAGTACTCTGCCCTATCCTTTTATAGAAGTATCTATAGCAATAATTATAAGAAACAGATAAAAGTTATAATCAATAGGCAGTACTGAGGGGAATTCTGAAAGACATAGCTTTATCTCCCTAAAAGCTACCTAATATACCTCTATCTATACAAAATAGGTATTCTTATATAGTATCTTATAGAGAGGCTTTATAATAATCTGGAATTTCTTAATCAGGATACAGAAGTAGACAGTAAGACTGACAAATAATCGGAGATTATCCTTAGATAACGGAGTAGGCTACTGTATAACTTTTATAACTTTTGCCTTATTAGGTCTCCTGCTGTTAATGTTATAAACTTATCTAATAACTTTAATTTCTTTTATTATAAATTAAGACTTTTCGGCTAAGATAACCGCTCTGGCTAATTCTAGAAGATACAGTGCTTTATTAAGATTCTGAATATACTTAAGAATATATTGGTAAATCTCTTCTTCTATAAACTCTTTATTGTACGTTGTTTATAGGCTCTTAACTGCTATATCGTTAAGAAATAAACGTGCCTTTGTGCCGAAAATACTATATAAAATAACAGATATTACTTATTGAAACTATACAACCGAATTTACTGTGCCTTAGAGAATTATAGTTTAACGAAGTAGACTAAGGGAAGTCTGAATTACCGTTATATCTTAGTTATCCTTATATAACTTAATCTGGTCATACCCAGAGAAGAGGTTAACTAAAGATACTATTACTATTCCTATAAATTCCTCTGTAAATTTATCTGCTATCAGGGGTATATTAGCATCTTACTTAGTTACTTTATTAATTAATATAGCTATATTAACTATTCAATATTTACCAGTTTATTTCTTACTGACAAGGAACCAGGGATTCTAATACAGACCATTATAAGGTTTAAGAATACCTTTTTATAGTTAATTATACAGTATTTCGATAACTATAGTATTTAGGGTATAAGGAATCTTAAATCCTGGGTATTGCTATACTTTATAAGGAATAGTTTTAATATACTGCAGAGGTATTACTTTATCCTATATTCTCTGAATATACTCCTATTCCTAGGCTAAAACTCCTTCTCTTTTAAACAGGAGTTCTCAAAAGAGTGCTCTCTTGTACGGCAGTAGGTCTTTTCCTACTAATAGGGTAATCTCTTACTTAGGGGTAAGACAAGCTTCTCTTATAATTACTGAGATGTAGGGTTTTAATAAATAATTAAATTCCGTCTAAATATCTGACGTACGATACTATATATAATACTTCTTAAGATATTTGTGCTGCTAATCAGGATGGCCAACCGGGATTATTCTATTAGAATCAGATAAGTTTATAGGCTAAACCTTATCTGCTTTCTTTTTATAAAGTATATTAACTTACGTATGGTAATAAAACTAGTATTTAGGATAATATTTCTATAGTAATTATATATTAGACCTATCCTTAAGAGAGAAGGCTATATAATATTCCTGAGTAATTATTTAGTTACAGATAATATATAAGGGTTGTTTATAACAGGGAGATAGTTTTCCTACAGGAAAACCCTAAGACAGCAGTATATAGAATTTATTATATTTTATATATTTTTATAGGGTTTTGTTATTTTTAATTATTTTTAGTTAGGAATTATTGCTTTTCTTAGAATATAGGGGATAATAAGAATAGGATATAATTGATTCAGAAGGCAGTGATTTGTGGCAGAGGATCAAAGCCTTAGTATACAGTACTAGAACAGAGGATAATATAACGCCTATATACCCTACTTATTGTTTAAAGAAGGGAAATCCTGAGGCTATAGCTAGTTTTTAAAGATAGACCTGCTGTTACTAGGACGATATATAATAAACGAAGCTTACTGTATACAGCCTTTGTTAAAAATGGTATATATAACACGGCTATCTGCTATTTTCTTAGTTTATAATCCTGTATTTTTTGCCTATAGTCGACCGAGAAGTAAGTCATTAGTGGTATAATCTGTTACTATTGTATAAGAATTAACTGTAATACTGCTGATAGTGATCAGTAGGTACTTAAGATATACTGAAACGCTGATCCTATAACCTCTGTCTACTGAGGTAAGTTAAAGATATAGCTTAAGTCTTATATCTGGTAGAATATTTATATACTTAATTATCTTACAATAGATAATATTGACTGTACTTCTGGTATTAATTAAGGCTCTGATAATCTGATTACTAATAACTGCTGTTGTATATATAAAACCTTATATATATTCCTGGCGGGACTTTATAGGGGTATTAGTAACTTATATAGCTTAGAAGTTAACTAAAGAACTAATAACCTTAGGAATCAAAACGCTGCGATCAGGTCTAAACAATATAAAATAAAAGAGAGCTATTTTCTGGATATCTTAAACTTAGATATTAATGTATTAAAAGAGCTCTGTGACAGCAGTATTAATAAGAACTTAGTTAATAACCTTAGTGAGTTTCTGACTTATAGTATCAGTACTAATATCTTTTCCTACTCCTGCTTAAATATAAGGAGCAGCACTAAGCAGTTTACTAATAGAGATTATAACGCTAGTTTCCCAAACCTTCTGTAGTATTAGGTCGGTAATTATAGACCTTTTCTCAGCTACGGCAGGATCCTATAGTCCTCTGACATAACGCAGAATATTATTCGGAGATAGATTCCCTACCGGAAAACCTTGTAGCGTTTATTCCTAAGAAGTTCCCTGGGTGTTATCTGGTATAAGTATTGGTTTATCCTTACCCTTATTAGTATCATCAATATATGATTAAAAGCAGCCTTACTAAGCGTTTCGGGTACGTACGTAGTCAGATACTTGCTGTTTTCCTTTCCTAATATAACTATCCTAGACTTAACCTCTGATAGCATTAACTAGACCTACCTAATATTCCTCTCTATATTCTTCCTTATTCTCTGATAGCTTTTCCTATACAGGCTGAGATCTGAGAAGAGATACAGCGATATATTATACTGAAGCAGAGTAATACTTATTATTTCCTGGAATATTATTAAACAATGCTCCTAAGAACTGTACAGGTGCTAAAGGTATTGATTATATATAATTACTTCCTGAATAATAAGCGTTTTGATTAGCCTATACAGTATATTGTTCAGGAATCAGATCTTTTCATAGGACCCCCATTCTAAACCTCAGCTTAGGACCAGGATTCGCCTTTGTTCTAAGAGTAGTCCAACCAGTTATTTCGTTACGATGAATTATATTCTTTGCCTTAAAGTCCTAGATAGCGTTGTATTATTCAGGAGTACTGTTGTATAGACCTCTATATATCTAGCAGTTCCTAGGAGGATTAATCCCTATACCATTCGACGGTGCCCCTCGGTTTTGTTCATAATAAGGGTTATTCTGGTGATCAGTACTAGCATTTAGTTTTAATATAAGAGCTTCTAGCTTCCAAGCTACATCGTTAATTACCCTTAATGTAGGGTTCTTGGCCTGTTGATCATTAGCCATTATAGCAGGAATTGGCTGAACAGCAGGAATAGGAGGAGTAGCTAAACGCAGGGATATTAAAGATAGCTGTCTCTCGTTTAACGATGTATCCTTAGTCTCTTTCCTCTCAACCTTCCGGTAAACATCAGCTTCTATATACAGATTTGTCTGAACTTACTTGTATACCTCGTTATAAGAGATCTCATCGTTGCAGGAACGCGCTTTCAGGGCATAGTACTTCAAAATCTTCGCTTGCCATTTCTCAGGAAGACCTTTGATTAGCAGATCCGCCCGCTCTCTATCACTCAGACAGCCAAGCAGGAATACCTCTATAGAAACCTTATAAAATTCGCTAAGATAGCGCCTAATTTCATCATTTGTCAATCGATTACTATCAGTAAGCTTGTTGAGATACTGCTTATTGTACCTCAATTACTCATTATCCCAATTATAATAGTAGTCTAAGAAGTCCTCTCAGAACGCCTGCCAATCTCTTCCCTTCTATATATCCTGACTCTCAATCCAGATATACAGTAGTCTTTTACAATACTGGGGGAGAAGATCTATAAGTACCTTATATCGAACAATACTATTATAGTGATAGGTATCTTCTAGTTTCCTCAGAAACTTAGATATATTGGTTTTATCGAACGCAGGAGCTCTACAAGATCCTAGGGCTAGTATCGTACTGTATACCATCTGATATATTGGTTACAGGGGCGGGACAGTATAATAGGGCATATACAGTGTAGGTTCTCTACTTAGTATAGTCAGCAGAATATAAGGAAGCGGCCTTACGGCTTTAGGGTTTACAGGACTTACAGGACGAGAGGGATCCCTAATAGTTAATCCGGATACTTCAGACAGTGGTTTACGAAACTAAGTAAATTATTCTGCAGCGGTAATAGGTATAGCTATATCGCTAGGAAGTTTACTATCGTTACTACTGTTATTAATAGCTATAGTTTCGGGAGATTATTTTCCTGCAGGAAAACGTAGTACAGAAGAACAAGAAGAACAAAGCGATACAGTATTAGAAAACAACTTAGTCTGATACAATAGCTCAGAAGCAGGAGCAGAAACAGATAAAGATAAAGACAGGGAAACAGAACATAAAATATAAGCTTCAGTACTTAGTAACAATAATAATTCTCTAGATAGAACTGACTCCTTGCTTCCTGACGAGGGTTTATCCCTCTTCCCTAGTATATAATATAACGCAAATAATAACAGAATATTAGACAGTGCTAAATGCCAGATATAGCCAATACCAGGACATCTGCAAATCACTATCTTATACAGTTGACCTAGTATCATTCGTAGAATCCTTTCGAGTATCGTGGCATCTCTAGTATACCAATCAGTAAGCATTGATCGTAGAAACTGTATATATTCGGCGGAAGAGGATACTCCGATATCCTTTTCAGCCAACATTTCGAACATTTGATTAGATGATCCTACCTAGGATCAACCGCTCTTTACCCTTTATGATATGTTTGAATACCGTCGTATTCTCATAGGGTCAAACGCAGTGCCTACTCTCATAATAGTATTGCTCTTATTTTTCAGCTACCCTTTTTGTTAATCGAGCCTTCCCGGGGACGCCATATGTAAGATAGGAACGCTCAATGGCAGTCTGTTAAGCAGACAGGTCGATCACAAGAAGACAAAACCACCACACTCGCAGAGTGCAGGAGAGTAGTAGACAGAGCGTGACGCTATAGAGATACGACTAGTAAGGCATTTAAGTCTTTATGGACATACGATACACCGATACCGCAACCTCAGCCTCAGTAGACTCCGTAGAGAGAATAATTCATAAGGGGGAACATACATGTTGTTATTGATACTATCGAACGAACGCTACTTATTCTTCCGAAACGATATGGCTGCCTTGTTACTAAGGCCCCAATCACCTGACTATGGGATACCGGTGTTGAGAGCGGAATTCCCCATTACAACGCTTAATTGCTATATTACGCCTATATTTTTGAATTTTGCTGCTCTACTCACAAAACCTAATAATAATGCTGAAATAAAATGCTCAAATAAAATGCTCAAAGAAAATACTCAAATAAAATACTCAAATGAAATGCTTAAATAAAATGCTTAAATAAAATGCTCAAATGAAATGCTCAAATGAAATGCTTATGTTAAGATATTAAGTGATGCTTTAGTGCTTCTATTGTTGAGGGGGTTGATTATGTTGTATTCCATGTGTTGTCTAAGATACAAGTAGACTGAGAAGTCAAGTATATGAGTATGTACGTGATCCTAGCCTCATTATTATCCATGCAACCGGGGTATCTCAACAGCTCAAATGAAATGCTCAAATAAGATTCTTGGTTGAAATAACAAATTAAAATACTCAGATAGAAATGTTGAAATAGAAGTGTTTAATTGTTCGAGCTGCTGTGACGACAGATTTCGGAGAAATTATGCGAGGCCATCTACACATCGAACTATCATCTTCACGGAAATAGGCAAAGTATGACAACCAAGCTTTCAAGTTCCACAAGGCCGTATGTCGGTACGAAATGACGCATACAGAATTTTATTAAGGCCTCTTTCGAAAATGAATGTAGCTGTTCTAAAGTCCCAAGGGCTCAATGGCTTGCGGGTATTTACTAGATTTGGTAGGTAATCCAGGGTAGGCATCGCCAGAACCCACTATAACCCGGACCCAACCCAACCCAACCCAACCCAACCCAAAATGGGTTTTGGGTCGAATACCATAACCCATTGATGGGTTTTGGGTTATCACTTATAACCCAAAACCCACCTATAACCCATTTAGGAACCCAGTGGGTACCTATTTTAGTCTTAAAATTTAAATATATAATAATTAATACTATATATATATATATGTAGGATCCTAGTATCTAGATTCTTCTAGAAAAAGAGAGATAAATTAAGTATTAAAATATACTACATAAAAGTTATGTAGAAATTATGTAAAAATAGGTTAAAATAGGTACCTATTGGGTTATTGGGTTTAACCCATTGGGTTTTGGGTCGGCATCTCCAACCCAAAATGGGTTATGGCGATGCCTAATCCAGGGTGTGAGCCGGCCACGCGCTATTTCCTGTAACGTAATTCTCTCGTCTACTGGACCACCTGCGTATTGCGCCCTCATTTGGTACTTCCATCAAGACCTTAATTCTGATACCGTTATACCTTGAACTAAGATTAACGTTGATTAGACTTGCTGAAAGCCTTATTTTTTATGGCATATACGGAAAATTCTTTCTTTCGCCGCTTCGTAATTTTCGAACCGAAGCTTATTGAGGCTACTGTCGACGATTACGCATATTTTTCGTCATGTAAATTTCGTTTCATATTGGAAATTTACAATACCAGATCGAAACAGAGGGGCTCCGTAATTTTTATCTGCTGTGGCGGTGCTGATCTGGTAACAGTGCTGTAAAGGGCCATTATAGGTATTAAATTACTTGTAATAGTGTTTTAACGCCTCGAAGTACTTATGATAGCTGTGCCATTCCCCTACTAGGATACAACCACAGGAGACGGTCGTAGTAAATAGACCCAATATAAGAAGAAGGTAGGAGAATAAGAGCCAAAGAGCACAGCGGTAAAAACAACTCAGTATATCATTACTATATTATAGGATTTAAATACATTAAATTAAGTGAAGGAATATGCCTAAATATTATAAGTAATGTATACTTTGACTAAATATGTTTAGATATCTCCAAATACGGATTATAATTACCTCAGCTTAGCCCTTGACCTGGTACATCTCTGCTGAGAAATATCTATTCCCATCTAAGCCTCTTACAGCAAAGATCTATCGATACCCAGAAAATTTAGCCTAACCTGCCTCAGCGTTAAGTACTGATCTTTTAGCTTATATAGCTCTTGCCTTTTCTTTATACTGAGCTTTTGTCTTAGCTTGTTATTGTCAGCTAAAGCAATAGGCTGATTATCCCCTTAGATTCTGGTGCTGTTAGTTGTCTTCCTAGTGGCGTTGCTCTGGGATAAATATATCGGTTCTTTTGTGTCGTTAATCGTGATCTTATAAATTTTGCTCTCTTTTGAAGAGTAGTGGATTAAATCCTGATACTTGGTAGTAGAGATTAAGGGGGACGTACAGCATTGCTAGTCTTCTAGCTTCTGCTCTTCTAAAATAGCTTAAGAAGAACAACCTTCTATAGAAACAGGATTCTAAGCTAGGGTTATTTGATCTTTATCAATGGTAAGAGGCTTAAGGATCCTTGGATTAATAAAATCCTCTATACCCGGGGTCATTGGCCTTGAGCTGATCAAAGAAGTCTCTTCAGAAAAGCAAGATACGGATAAGCCGCTTATATTATCTTTTGTTGAATTACTGTCGGTAGAAGATTGCTTCTTAAAGTTACTTAAAGTTAAGGTATAAAATTTCTTCGAGCTCCTCTCCTTAATATTCTGAGATACTTAATCTTTTGCCTTTGTGGTATATTTTCGTTTCCCCTGCAGAGGCTTTGGATTTAACTATATGGCTTTTTTCAGCTTATAAGTATTATATAGATAATATTGAAGACTACGTTTATTAACAAAGGCCTGACTATATCTATATACTAGCCTTACGCTATACTGCCGGTCTGTATAGATATACTTATCTTTAATATACTGCTTTAGATTTGTACTTTTAAGATATTAATATAATCAATCTTTGGCATAAAGATCCTTGTTCTATAAATAAAAAGGACAGTAGCCGGGCCGAATCACTGTATTACGATATACAATGACTTTATAATACTATATCTTCTATAACTGTATATAAAAGAAACAATACGCTCTCCACTGATATATTTTAAACTATTTTATATACTTATAGCAAAATTTCAAATCTAAAACTAGTACCTAAAGATATACAGCCATTATACGTCAAGTATAGCTATAGATATAAGCCCCTCTGATCTTTTTTTTTTAAACTGGTCAAGGTTAGTAGGTATCTCGTTATTTTTTCCTTGGCCAACTTACCAGCTTATATATTTATAGTAATCGTTTGCAGGGTACTTACCTTATATTAGAATTTCTTGTAGAAGATAAATCACTTTATAATTATACTTACAGAGGGTTTTAAGATCGTCTATAAAAGCAAGTACTTCGTTAAATAAAAGCTCTCTATCGGAAGACATTAAGGATAAGAGATTAGCGATTTCGGGCATAATTAGCGACTAAGCCAGTATAGAAACATTGTTATTGCTGATAATTAGCTCCTCTTTGCCTCTATTAAGAATTCTTTAGTCTTGCCTTTCTCATACCCAGTAGCTCTGATATTCTTTCAGACCAGCAATACAAAGTTATAGCAAAGCCTTCCTGTACTTTAGCTTCTCGGTAGCTATTGATGCCCTGTTAATGTTTATACCCTTAAGCTGCTTAACTTAACAGCGAATCTTGACTAGCTCTGGTATCTGTAAGATATCTGCTTTAATCTCAGCAGGCAGCTCCCCTAGATATCTATACTTATAAAATCTCTTAAACCCTTAGAAGTAGTTAATATAATCTGACTGTTCTTCCTTACCTAGAACAGTAGATACTATATTAATTAAAGAGTAGTAAAGTAAATATTCTTTAGGATATATCCCTGTATCTTTATACCTATATATCTAAGATACTAAGGCAGATCTATGCTTTCCTATACCAGAAGTCAGCCGACAAGGTTTCTTTCTAATCGTTACAAATTTTTATTATCCTACCCTCGATAACAGACCCAAGGTACTTATAAATCCTATAAACGGTTATATTCTTACTATACCCGGCAGTTATAATAATTCTATACAGTAGCTCACAAAATCATTCTTTAGTAAGCAGTATATCTTATAGGCTAGCAGCTATAATATTCCTAAGGATAGGTTCTTTTAAATACTTATATTTCTAGCATAATTCAATAGGTCTTCTATTAGAAAGGTTATACTAAGCCAAGTCCTCTATAGTTTTAATCCCAAAGAGGGCGCCGTGCTGGAGGGCCATAGCCAGAAGGAGATAGCCAGATACAAATTAGGGTCTCTTTATATCGTAAAGACTGATTCCGAATCTGATCTATAGTTAGCAAGGGGCTTCGTATTAAACCTAACCAAATCAAGGCTATCTTTTAGATAACTTATACTGCATAATCTAGGTTTCGATTATCTTTAAGCTACTTTTAGTTAACCTTCCATTCTACTTTCTAAGGTCCCGTTAGAGATAGGAAAAGAACCAGAACGATATCCTTTATTTATAATTAGCGATACATAACTTCTAGAATAGTGGTATAATTACCTTATATTTTAGTCCTTTCTTATCTTTGTTATAGTAAGGTAGGATAAAAGCCCTAATCCTCGCTCTAGTAAACAGATATAGTTAAAGAGCCAGCATTATTATAGCCTTAAGTAAGCTAGATAGGAACCGCTGATTATCTACCTACTATATAGACGCTATTACCCGAAGGAAATCTTTCTTAGTAAAACTGTAATCTAGATCTTTAACATTTTCAACAGTTCCTTTGGTTTCTGACAATATTCTCCTGATCTACTATATTATAATAAGTTTGAGGTATATTGTAAAAAGATAAGAATAATCATGGCTTACGTTGAATACCTCAATCTGATCTTCCTTTATAATTATAAGCTATATAACTTCTTCAAATCTGCCAAACAGCCTTTCCGCAATATTAAGGCACGACGTTATCACTGGTCGTCTATTTTTGCTCTTTTTGCCTCGTACAGTATAAGCATACCAACGAATAAACTCTTTAATCAGTATATAATCTAGAGTCACACAACCTGGCCCCATTTTGTATCCTTTAATTTTTTATTCTTCTACAAATCTATAGATATATCAGTATAACCCGGCGAACAGCATACAACCTATAAAAACTCACTTCATCCACCGTCTGACAGCGCCATAATATATCTCCTTGGTTTTAGGTATTCTCTTATCCTTGTTGCAGATAGAATCCTTATGGGCGTAAGCACCAAACATATAGCCATTTTTTTCGGTTTGCCCTTTAGCAGGACCCTTTTATTAAGCAAAGAATAGCTTAAGTCCCATGGCTAAGATAAGAAAATAATCATGGCAGTGCGATAAATAGAATACAATATAGATCGAAGATTAAATCAAAGAATAGAATGTAGAAACGAAGAGTAGAGGGTAACTCAGCTTCAATTTATACTCGAGGTTCGATATAGAGGCAGCCGTAGATGAAATAAGTAAAGAGGGACTATTCCTGTGGCGCTACATGACAAACACAAGTCTTTGTTTTTGATTAAAATTTTTGTTGTCATATCGCCCTTTCAATCTGTTCTAGGTTGGTCGAGCCGGGACTGGGAAAGACACCTCAAGAAGCTGAAGCTCAGTAGGCCATCAAAAAAATTCCGTTGAAGTACTGTTGTAGGGCTGAGTGCCAATTTTGGCATAGGCCGGGTGTAGGCTGGGTGCTCAATAAAGGCCTCTGATCAGTCTCTGAGTAATCACAGAGCAATCACTGATCACTCAGAGATGCTCAGAGCCTTACTAATTGACCACGTGACCTGCTCTGAGCTGCTCAGTGAGTCTGAGCCCGGACTGAGATCTACTCAGTGAGTCTGATTCTGAGCGCCCTCATTAAAGCGGCGGCACCTAGAATAGGAAAGCCCCACCTTGCATGGGAAATATGTTACGTATACCTACCTAGGTACCTAGGTATCCTCTCGGCCTCAAATGTTACTACTAACACATACCTCGGCAAACCAAAGATAAGTGTTTCAACAGGTACTAGTATTAATTACTACTACGGATAGTAGCAACCCTAAAGGGAACCTGAAGAACTTGAAAAAGCAAAAAGTGATAGTATCAAAGACCCCTCGCATAGATATGACGGTCAATAGTGACCCTAGACGGGGTGGAAATATCGGTCAGGAAGGGATTGTGGGGGAGTATGGGGCACCAATCAGAGAGAAGCTGGAAGGAACAACAAAAACAATATGAATATGACTCGAAGACCAAGAGAGTCCAGTGAGTCCAGCGCAGTAATACTGGAAGGCAGAAGTTGTGACTCGCTGGTAACTATAAGGCGGGAAGCAAAGCAAATAAACAAGGGAGTCCTGGAGCTCTGGTGGAGCTGAACTTGGAACTTGGGCCCATCGCATCTCAGCTCATCTCGTTTCGTTTCATCTCCGCACACCCACCGTTCCTCAAAGGCCCCAGTTTCACATCAATGCCTCCATGTTCGACTGACCTACTTGCTTTTGCCCTTCTGCCTACGCCCATTGGAGCGCGACCCGGTCTTTGTGACGCGCGCCTGGGGTGCCGCATAGCAACGTTTATCAGCCCCGACAACATCACATCATAACAAAGGGAAAATGAGCCAACCATGGCTCGACAGCCTGTCCGACGACTGGCCGTCGGTGCCTACGACACCCACTACGCCAGCTCCAGCTTCAGCTTCAGATCCAGCTCCAGCTCCAGACCCAACTACGACAACCCCCTCCAAATCGGAACTCTTGCCCTCCTCGCCAGGGCAGAGTGTGCAGAATTCAGTCCAGAATTCCCCCAGTCGCATTCCAGTGCCCGCCCGGCGATCCATCGATCAATCCTCACCGGCTCGTTCAACGCCCGCACGAAGACAACAGCGTGATTTTTCTAAAAAAGTGACCCGGCCCTGTCACTTCATCAAACGAGAACCTCCGACCCCAAAGACCCCTCGCACCCCCAAAACACCCTCGAAAGTCCAGTCGCCGACCCCCGCCAAATCCAAAACAACCACTCCCAAATCCCCCAACTCCCCCAAATCGCCCCGATCCACCTCGAAACCCAGTGCGAAACTGAGCAGCAAGCGCAGCCCCAAGCCGACTCCCATCGCGGCGGGCAAACGGCCGCAGACGATGGAAACGCGTTCCCCGCTTCGATCCGTCTCGAATATCTCCAGCCAATCCAGTTTTCAGAGCACAGATACCGTCCAGATCAAACCGAAAAAGATCAAGGATGAAGGCGCAGCCACCCCCGAATGGCGGAGACGATTGGTGCAGGGTGAGATCGCGGCGGGCGAACAGCGGGACCTGTTCGCGCCCATGGGCCTCGAGAGCGTGTTTAAACCGCCGACGCCTGGCTCTGCGACCGCCAAACAACCGGGCTCCATTCGATTCACCAAACAGGAGGACGACCAACTGTGGGATTTCACCGACACCCCATCGAGACGCGACAGCGCGGCGGGAGAGGAGGAGATCGCGGAGGAGGAGATCAATGCTTATCACATTGACGCGCAACGCGACGACGAGTACAAGGACGAGGATGAACCCTGGGGTACCGGGATCGAATCGCCCTTGGGCACAGTCAACCGGGCGCCATGGGCAAATAAGTGGGACCATGACAAGGAGGGACTTTCTCACACCGATCTCAACGATACGGGGATCCGAACCGCGAGCGGGTTGGAGGACCTTCGCAATGAGGGCATCACACCCATCACGTTCACTCGACCCAATACCCTCGAAGGCAATGGGACGTCGGAGGTGATCAAATCGGCATTGAAGCAAGTCACCAACAAATTGGAGAGTCTGTCGGTGGATAACAGTCGCCCAGACTCCCCAGTCAGCGACAGCTTGCTTTTTTATAATAATAGCGAGCCCCGACCTGACGGATCACCTCACGATGATAGTTTGCTAGATGTGACAAGCCACTCTCTTCCGCAAGACTTGTCAATGGGGACTCTTGACTTTAGCCGGCGAGTGGTTAGCCGTCCTAACAACAACAACCACCACCACAACCACCACAACCGGCGCTTCTCACCTTCGCCCTTTCCCTCCCACCGCTTGTCCCCCGCGACTCTTGCCAACACCAAAATTCGCAGCTCGCCCCTCTTCAACCCTTCGCGCTCCCGTTCCCCAAATCTACCTCGACCCTCCTCGTCTCATGTTCGCCCATCAACATCGGGGGATGCCGAGGAAGCCTCGAAGGAAACAGCAATGCCGTCATCGGGCAGCCCGCTGAAGCTCTTTGGAGAGCATGATACTTTTACGAACAATCGTCTTCTACGCCGCATGAGCCAGTTTGAGGAAACCTTTGAAGATGGGTCGGATGGAGACGAGCCCCCGTCTCCCTCGGAAGAGGCCCGGCGCAAGGGTGAGAGTCGTAGCTTCTTGAATGCCCGACATGAGCCGTTAAGTGAGATCACACCACGACGAAACGAGCGATTGGCGTCGCGGAATGTCTCTCGCCCCCGGATCAGTAGGTTCGGAGATGGGGAACTGGATCAATTCGACTTCTCCGATGCGAGCCCATATGAACATCAGCTGGTCTACGATGAGTCTAATGGCTTTGGATCTCGCCCTACCTCTCGAAGACAAGTTTCCATCCGCCAGCAATACCTCCGTCATCCCTCTTCCCAGTTGGGATCTTTGCACTACGCCCGCTCTGCGAGTTCAGGTTTCACACGAAAGCCCTCAGCTTGGACGCGACAAAGCTACTTTGAAAATAGACGTGATGCGTCGTGGTCTTCGCGTGTGAACCAAAAGGAGAACATCGGCCCCGAAACCAAACGGGTCCCCAAAACAGCGGCCGACCCAATCGCCAAACGCCGCCGAACGATATTGCGAGATGAGAACGTCGAGCCTGACCATACGCAAAAGAGTCCCGAACATAATCCGAAATATGGAGACAGTATGTCTCTACTGCAACGCAGCTTGATGCAACACAAAGTCCAAATGGAGAACGGTGACTACCTGGCACCCCCCGGCCTCTCCAAATCCATGCAGCGACCTCGAACGCCTACTCCGAGCCAAATCCGATCTGCATTAGAGGCCACGAATGGACCGACAAGAGACTTTTCGGAATCCAATTACAACG